GGGGGCGGGGGGAGCAGCAGTAACTTTGATGACGTATCAAAACTCACAAGCCATTGTCCTGTGGGCACTCACCAGGTGCTTGACCCTAACAGGAAAGTAGGAAAGTCTTGATTCACCCATAGGCCCTGCCCCCTCTGGCCCTTCTGTCAGGCAATTCAAAGTCTCCCTGCCCACAAGTTACTGATTAACCCTCAGTTTTGAGAAAAGAAATAATAATAACTGAAGGAAGGGATAACGTAAACCAAGAAACAAGCTGAGCAGTTCTGGGAGAGAGTGGTGGCAAACGGCTGTTGTCATCAGCACCTGACAAGAAGGAAAGGTGGCTTGAAACTAGCACAGGGTCAGACTCCAATCCAGTGGTGGGCAGTGCCAGTTGAGACTCCTGTGATATCAGACCAGCTCTGAGCAGCAGCATCTCCCCGGCTTCTGTACCCAGAATGGCCAGCACCAACGCCCCGGAGCAGCCAGCCCCTCAGCTGTCCCAGCCCATCTCCCTAGGAGCCAAGGACTCTTCTGGGTGTCATCGCAGCTCAGCGGGGGATGACCTGGAGTGCCTGGTGTGCCGGGAGCCCTACAGCTGCACGCGGCCACCCAAACTTCTAGGCTGCCAGCACACCTTCTGTGCCGTCTGCCTGAAGCTCCTGCTGTGTGTGCAGGGTGGCACCTGGTCCATCACCTGCCCACTGTGCCGCAAGGTCACTGCTGTCCCCGGGGGCCTGATCTGCAGCTTGCGTGACCAGGAGGTGATGGGGAGACAGCTGACTCGCCCTTGTCCTGAGGTGCAGCTCTGTCCTCAGGGGTTGGCAGACTCTGCCACCTTGACAGTAGGACACCCCAACCTGGCGGGAGAAGATGGACAAGATACGATGAGTGTCAACCGCATGGCAGCCCGGCGCCTGGTAGCACACCTGCTCCTCCTAGTCCTGCTCATCATCCTCATCCTCCCCTTCATCTACCCAGGTGTCATCAGGTGGGTGCTGAGCTTCATCATTGGCCTGGCTCTGCTGATGTCCACCCTCTTCTGCTGTCACCCCAGCAGCCGGGGCAGCTGCGGCCCGTCCTCCAGAACTCTCTTCTGCAGAGAGAATAAACACAGCCACATCTCGTCAGTTGCCTGAATGCACTCCAGCTGAACAGACCCTACAGCTCCTTGGGCCTCCTGGGCCCCTGTTACTGTCCCAATAACCAGGGTAAGCAGCTGGTGAACTATGACTGCTTCCCTCAGGAGATTAAGTGCCAACTGGACTTGCAAGCCAAAGCCAGGTGACAGTCTTGGGTCAAGAACTCTGCATAGAAAGCAAGCCTTATGCCTGCCCTTGGTATAATACTGCTAAACTGGGGGTAGGGTAGAGGCACAAGTGACTTGCCTGCTACAAGGGGGCCTCCTGTTCTCATAGTCCAATGTTTGTGGCCTTTCTTTGTATAACTTGATGGAAGTATTACAATGTTGACCTTGTTGCAGACCAAATAGAATCAGGACTCTTTTTTATTTTTATTTTTATTTTTATGTTTTCAGATTATCTGGCTGGTTTCAATTTCTTGCTTTGGTTTGGTGTTTTTGTGTTTGGGGCAGTTTGTTCACATTTTTCACTGTTTACCCATTTTTCCTCCTGCAAAGTCAGAGCCCACATCTGTCTTCCTGTGCTACCCCAATGCTATTCACCGTGTGCCCATCCCAAGCCCATCAAAGGTTCCAGTTGTGTGGGTCTCCCTTTGAGTTGGCCTAAGACTTGAAGAGGAGAACGTGTGCAGAGGGGTGGGACTTCCGATGTTGTGGGGGGCTCATGCATTTAGTTGTCAGAGTTGAGAAGACGTAGAGAGAAAGCAAATGGGTCTGGGAATATTGTTCTCAACATCCTACCAGGATCTTCCAGCTCTGTACCATGAGGTCTAGACTTAGCAGAGAACCTGATATAGTTTATCCTGCCTCAGGTGTTTAAGACTGGCCCCGCCATGGCAGATCCAGCTACCCGTCTGATGTACAGCCCCATGCTATGGAACCCGATCTTTATGAGTGTTGCTTCCTTTTATTATTGCATCGCAATTCCCATCTGCACTTTTGTCATAAAGATAAGAGGCCCCATAAATGCAACGGTTCTCACCAACAACTCCACCTTTCCCACCATACCCTGATAGTCATGGTCATCTTCTTCATGAAGTCATTTCTGCTCATAGGGGGGGAGTTCATCCCTCTGCTTGTTGTCAGGGATTAGTACAGGGGTGCAGGGAAGCAAAGAGTGGCACACAAGGTGTTATTTCCTTCCAAAGACCCCAAAGTTAGGAAATCAACCTGAAGACTCAGAGGGGCTCCACAGGCAGAGTCAGTCCATTGTCCTTCCCTGTCTGCCCCCTCCCACCCTTTCCTTTCCTCCTGGTAGGATGATGATAGTTGGATAATTGCAGAAGGGATCCTCAGTTCATGGTGGCTGTGCCTTTGTCGGGGAAGGATGGGAAACACTCTGGCTTTGGCAGAGTGGGTGTTTACCCTGGCTTAAGTGTTATGGTTAATGAACAAGGCCTCTCTGAGCCTCAATTTTCCTAAATGATCTAGTTGGACTGGATTATTCCAAAGATCCCTGAAGTCCTGGGAACTGAGTGCACTTCAAGACCCCAAAACAATAAATGACGGTCATATCCCCTCTGTACTTACACAAAAAGAAATCAAAATACAAATTAGTATACAGCTAAACTGTATGCATATTTGTATTTTGCTCTTAAAGTGGATCACAGTAGCTCCATAGAATAAACACTGGGCTGCTAACTACAAAGTCGGTGGTTCAAACCCATCAGTCGCTTTCTGCTCCCGCAAAGATTTAAAGCTTCTGAAACTCTATACAGGGTCACTATAAGTCGGAACTAACTCAATAGCACTTAATAACAACACCCACTCTTTAAATCTGAGTTCCTTCTTTTTTCTAATAAGATACATCTGGGGTAACTCTGCGGCACCCATGTCATTGGCTTTATTAACTCACAGGTACTGAGAGGGAGTGGTTATGTGTGTGCGGTGGGTTGGGGAGGTATGTGGGTATCTATGCTTTTAAGCCAGGCCAAATGGACCTGAAGAACACTCTGTATCCACAGTATAACTAAGAGAGGCATTCCATATTTCCTAAGCTGGCCCCGGGCATGTACAGTTGGAATGACTGCCAGTAAACTAGAGAAAGAACGTTTTCTCCCCACTTACTCCCCCACCCTCATTCTATCTAGTTCTTTGGCTCCTCCACCAAGAAGGAAATCTCCACCATTCCAGTTGCTGATATCAATACCATTTCGACCATCATAATAGCAGGTATACATTTATTGGCTGTTTATTGTGTGAGAGGAAGGAGTTCCTGGGTGGTGCAAATGGTTGATGCATTTGACTGCTAACTGTAAGGTTGGAGGTTCCAATCTACCCAGAGGTACTTCAGAAGAAGGCCTGATCATTTACCTTCTAGAAATCAGCCATGGAGAGCCCTATGGTGCATAACAGTTCTACTCTGGCACACATAAGGGCTTCATGAGTTGGAATTGACTCAACAGCACATGGTTTACTGTCTTCTAAGCACTATTATATGGCTGAACTATCTTAACAACCTATGAGGTAGACCATTATTATCCCTTTCTTAACAGATGAGGAGAGGACACTGAGGCTCAGAGTGGCAAATTCCGTTACCTGAGGTTGCCCAGCCAGAGCTCCCTAGGAGATTAGCTCAAGACTCTTTCTGCCTCATCATGCTGCATCTTTTGCAGGAAGTTGGTCACCACTTGTAGACTTGAGAGGAATTCCCTGGAGAGCAGAAAACTAGTTCCAAAAGCCTTCAAATTCCAGAGGTCTAGTGTTCATAGAAGCCGGAGAATTCCAGAACCTGTTATCTATACTAAAGAAAAGAAAAACTGCTGAAAATAGTCTGGCATTCCTATAGACTTTTCCCCTCCCTTTAAAAATGTTTATTGCTATTGAAAATGTAGCCTGCAAAACACACACCAAGTGAACAGTTTCTACATACAACTGAGTGACGTTGATGACACCCTTCACACTGCACAGCCATACTCACGCTCCTTTTCCAAACTGTTCCTTCCCCATTGACACGAGCTTGCTGCTTCCTAAGTTTCTTATTAAATATTTTGAGTTGCTGTTGTCAACTGGATCCCAAATTCCTATAGACCTAACCACCCCACTCCAGCCTTCTCTGCAGGAAGCGTGCTGGCAGAAACATTGGAGTCCCAGATTTGAGGCCTCACTCTGCCCCAACCTTGCTCTGTATCCCTAAGGAAGCCACTTTGTCTCTCTGGACTTTATATCGTGAGAATGGGAAAAGCTACACTAGGGAATCTCTTGTTATAGCCCTTGGCACATGAGAGGCCTCCAAACAACTTACTGTCTATCCCTCTGGACCAAGCTGTTCTGACGTTGTTGTCACTATCCCGCCAACCACCTGCTGGTCTCTGGCAGTGTGGGACAGAAAGCTCTGGAAACCATTCTAAATCCAGGCTGCCCGGAAGGGAGCAGAGGAAATAGGCTTGGAATGGATGTCAGTGGAAGAAACCAGAGAGGAGGTGTGAAGGCCATGAACAATACAGGATGGATCCTGCTCCCATAGGACTCTAGGAAAGAATGACCTAGACCAGGAAAGAAACATACCAAACACGTGGCTTCTTGGTAACATCAATTGAAACCCATTAACTAGTACAAAAACAACTCCATTAATCATTGTTTAATGTAGGGCCTGAATGCAGGCCTTATATGCCCTACATATAGCTGTTGTTGTTAAGTACCATTGAGTTGATTCTAACCCATAGCAACCCTGTATAGGGTTTCCAAGAAGCAACTGGTGAGCTTGAACAACCGACCTTGCAGTTCAGTGCATTAACCCACAGCGCCACACCAGGACTCCCTTTATATGGTGGTGGTGGTGTGCCATCAAGTCGGTTCTGACTCATAGCGACCCAGTATAGGGTTTCCGAGACTGTAAATCTTTACAGGAGCAGAAAGCCTCATCTTTCTCCTGCAGAAATGCTGGTAGTTTCAAACTACTGACTTTGAGGTTAGCAGCCTGATTCGTAACCACTAAGCTACCAGAGCTCCTTCTACATATGGTATGCTCATATAAACATCCAATCCTCACTATTGTGCATACTTGGTAATACTTCACTGTCCGTTGTGAGAATTTTGGCACCACCTCTGTCTGTAAATTCCTGATCAACCTAGCATATACTGTCTCCTCTCCTCTTTTTTTTGGAGTCTGGCCCATGCCTCTTGGAGTCACTCATGCTGCTGGCTCAGTGCAACAGGAGGCCAGGTTCAAAGCCAAGCTCTGACTCAGCATGGGACTCAGTGAAGTTATAGAGTTTCTCTGAACCTTACTTGGAGTTGTCTCACCTGTAAAGCTGTGTAGGGTGCCATACATTTCCCAGGGGCTCCTTACGGATCCAATAAACTAAAGATGAGAACCCTGTGTCCTGAACTTTTTGCCTTCATCATCTCTGCCTTGATCATTAATCATTGACCTGCACGAGTGAAGGATTTCTTGATCCTGTCCAATATGACAGGGAACAGGGGATCGGCCTTGATGCCATAGTGAAGAAATCAGTCCTGAGTAAGGAGCTTTGTCCGGGGTGGGCCGACCTCATGGAGGACTTTGTGCTTAGGTTGAGGTGAGGTTCTGGAAAGGGCGGTTCTGAGGATGGAGAGGAATTACGGGGGAGGTCAAATTTCATCCTCATCAGAACCATCTCCTTATGCAGTGGCCTTGGAGTCAGACATACCTGGCATGAAGCTGGGTTCAAGTCACCTGAGACTCAGGTTTCTTACCTGTGAAATGAAGGTTATAATGCATAGCTCATAGGCTCATTGGGGAAAATAGATGATGCATGATAAAGAACTTGCAATCATGAGACTGTAAATAAGGGAGGACAAGACAAGGAGAGGGAGTTGGAATTAAGTTCTGGAATACCCTAACAGGAATCATGAAAATAGTCTCATTGAAATGCCTCAGCATCATCAACATCCTCAATAATAGCAGAATAACAACAATAATTATAAACATTTTTAATGCAATTATCCTAGGCACAGAGAGGTTAAATACCTTAGTCCTCATCACACAGTTGTGAGTCCTAGAGTAGAATGCAGATC